GCGGGAGCCCCGCCGCGCTTCCCAAGCGGCGCACTGTAGCAGTGCACCACCGGGCCGGCCCAGTCCATCACTTCTTAACTCCAGTCCCCTCCAGGCCTCTGGTGACCGTTGTTCTACTCTACTTCTGTGGGAACCACATTTTTTTCTTTTTCTTTTCTTTTATTTATTTACTTTTTTAGATTCCTCATATGAGTGAGATCATGCAGTATTTGTCTTTCTGTGCCTGGCCTACTTAACACCATGGCCTCCCATTCCACCCCTGTCAGTTACCAAATTTTCAATTTGATTTTCAATCAAAGCATAAAAATCAGACTCTTCAAAGGACCAGCTTTCAGCTGCGCAGGCTTTTGATCTAAGCACCAAGGTCCTGGACTGTTGTGTTACATGTCATTTCGAATTTGCTCTCCATCAGATCACCACGATGGAGAGCAACCTGAAGACCATCGAGGAGGAGAACAAAGTGATCGAGCAGCAGAACGAGTCTCTTCTGCACGAGCTGGCCAACCTGAGCCAGTCCCTGATCCACAGCCTGGCCAACATCCAGCTGCCACACATGGTAAGTGACTGACGGAGCAAGACAGGAGTTTGGAGGTCTCCACAGCTCACCACAGCCTAGATGTCTCTTTTATTATTATTTCCATGGTTTCCACCCCAAAACCATAACGTTAACTACTAGACACCTTGGTGGGGCTGATCCCATAAAATTAAGTGTGCTCAGAATAGGCTTTTAAATATTATAGAAACAGTGGCCCTATGCTATTATACTATTTTATGCTTTTGTGAATATACTATTAAGAAAATAAAAGTTGTATATGAACTACTATTTAATATCTCGTAGGATCCAATCAATGAACAAAATTTTGATGCTTACGTGACTACTTTGACGGAAATGTATACAAATCAAGACCGTTATCAGAGTCCAGAAAATAAAGCCCTACTGGAAAATATAAAGCAGGCTGTGAGAGGAATTCAGGTCTGAACAGCTGCTCTAGTGATGAAACTCTTGCTTAAAAAAGGATGCCTCTTGTTTCTTGCTGCTGTAATTTACCAGAAAGTGTTATCTATTTATTTCTGTTTGGAACAGTGTTATGCTTACAAGACTTCATAATGATTTTATGTCTTGCTTTGAAGATAGCACCTGCAGAATAGTTTTTGAATACATTCACATTTTGTACGTTTTCATATAAGCTGACATAGTGTGTTATGCCATGTAATGTTTATAGCTGCTAATGTATGCACATTTGGGGGTATATATATTTCTGAAGAGGTAAGCCGATCAAAATAGAGTGTACATTCTTTTTAATGCTTAAGTAATTAAATGTTTTAGTATTTTGAACTGAAATGGACAAAAATTAAAAAAAAAAAAACAACTTTGAATGATCATGTTGTGGCCTCGCAGCCACTTTTGAGACTTTATCGATCAAAATAGAGTGTACATTCTTTTTAATGCTTAAGTAATTAAATGTTTTAGTATTTTGAACTGAAATGGACAAAAATTAAAAAAAAAAAAACAACTTTGAATGATCATGTTGTGGCCTCGCAGCCACTTTTGAGACTTTATCATTCTGCCTCATGTTGGAGGACTTTATGGAATTTAAGAAATACATTTTGTGTGCATATTGTTTCATAGCAAGAATTGGTTGCAAAAATGCTTTATTTTTGAACAATGCTTGGAAATATTATGTGATTTTTTTGTTTGTTTGTTTTAGGAGGATGGTGTATGGTGGGGGCAATAAATCAGGTTTTTTGCATTCCAAGGAAATGGCATATGGATTAACTGTAAGAAATGAAATAAGTAATTTATTGTAAGACAACATCAAGCCATGGAAACTTGGCAGAAGATTCAAAGCAGCTTAAACAGCACTTTTAAATTAACTCCTAAACATTACATGGTGTGACTATGGAGCTTATCAGAGGTGGACAACACGAAGATTTCCTTTTCCATTTTCAATAAACTTTGGAACAACCTTCTCTTATCTCCTCTAAAGTTTCATGCCCCTCTGAACTGTCTGTTATTGCTATGTAGTTTATCTAACAGAATTTGTGTGTTTTCGATTTAAGCTAAAAGATCATTTAAGAGCATTTATTTCCCCTTTTTACTTTTAAAATCATTATGGATAATTATTGTTATTACTCTTATTATTTCACAATTGAAGGAAAAAGCAAATGATTTGTGAGTATTCTGGTTACTGGACTGAATTTTCTGCTGGATCGGGTGGGAAAGCAGCTCAGTAAAGTTTCCCTCCCCGCCCCCCACCCAGACTTGACTTTGAGTAGCGTTTGGTCCACTCAGAGTACTCTTACAGCGACGTTCATGGCCCACCCTTCGCTGGAGAGCGGCTGAGCCCTCGGCCTGCGCTCGGCCGTGGGGTAGCCTTCTTTGATTTGTCGTGACCTAGTCTAAGAATGAACGCAATCAGACTTTAAAAGTAACTAAATATATTTCAGCACTTTTTTGCTTTAAACTAGATCATCGTAGACTTGTTTATACCTTCAAGATCTGATGTTTTATCCAGACGACTGCACTATATGTATGCATAAGACCACTTTCGATTGCTGCGTTTCCCCTGCTGAGTAGTCCTTGGACGATGTGTTGTGTTTTCTGACGTTGACTTGATTTACGCTTAAGAGCATCTCTTCCTTCCATGTCTTGATGTTATGCAGGAAGTACAAAAGTACTTTAAAATTTTGTTATGAAATAAAAAAAAAAAGATGGGTTTTGTAAAAATAAAAAAAAATATTTTTAGCAGAACAGGACTTACAGGGTCATTGTCCCCACAATGTGCCAGTCGACTATTTGCACTTACCGTGTGCTACACACCCGTACGGAGGTGTGCATTCCTTGTGTCAGCAGCCTGTGACACTGAACCCGGAGGAATTACAGAGGAAGCCTCGCGGCTGACCCAATAATGTTGCTAAGGGAGACTACAGGGATCTCACAACAAATATTCTGATACAATACTCAACCTCGGTATATATATATATGTATAAATATATGTATATCCCAGCGGCACTTTATATTGCTCACTGTACAAAAGCTGACAGTTTTCCACAAGGACTTTAATAACTAGCTGGGAAAAGATTATGTAATTACTTTGGGGCTCTGTAGGACCTTCTCTGTACAGCGCCCTCTTTCTGTTGTGCTATTAGTTGTAGCTGCCATGCTCAGAATTGCCTTTTTGAGAGCTGAAGCAAGGTGCTTGCTGTCACCTGACGCCATATACATGGTCCAGGGCCCAAGCCTCTCTTAGGGCCGCCATTGTTCATAACGGCATATGCATTTCCCCACCGCGTCGTGTCTGCAGCTTCTTTCCCAATATAGTAATGCTTTTAGTAGAGTAATAGGTAGTATCAGTTTTGGATTCTTATTGTTATCACCTATGTACAATGGAAAGGGATTTTAAGCACAAATCTGCTGCTCATCTAACGTTGGTACATAATATCAAATCAAAAGTTATCTGTGACTATTATATAGGGATCACAAAGTGTCACATATGAGAATGCTGACCTTTCATATGGAATTATTGTGAGTCATCAGAGTTTATTTATTATAACTTATTGTTCATATTCATTTCTAAGTTAATTTAAGTAATCATTTACTAAGACAGAATTTTGTATAAACTATTTATTGTGCTCTCTGTGGAACTGAAGTTTAATTTATTTTTGTACTACACGGCATGGGTTTGTCGACACTTTAATTTTGCTATAAATGTGTGGAATCACAAGTTGCTGTGATACTTCATTTTTAAATTGTGAACTTTGTACAAATTTTGTCATGCTGGATGTTAACACATCTTACTCTAAATAAAAAGGTGTTGCCACATTTGTAGCACGAAGGGTCTCTAACCTGGGTCTGCGTCTTCACTTGAGTCTGGGAAATGCCATCTGGGGTCCCGCAGGGTCCACTCAGAGCATTCTCACCCCAAACTGACCTGCTTTTGTTTTAATATTTTTCAAGGTTTAGTTGTCCACTCTGAGGTGTATAAGAGCAAAGGATTTTTTTTAAAACTATATCAGTGCTTGGTGTCCTGCCCTGTCCACTTTTGCCACATTTGTGGCTGCCCTGTTCCCGCTCCTCCCCAGCTGAGCAAACCTGGAAGTGAGAATGACCTTCTCCTCGCTGACCAGCCAGACCTCTCCTGGGGACACAGATGTGCCCCATCCAGCCACAACACAACCCTCACACCTCGATAGGACATGAACCTGAACCCAATGTTCCCACCACAGATCGTGTTCCTCGTCTGGAATCTGACCGAGGATCACACACTGCTCTCAGTGAGCCGGTCCCTGTCCCTTCTACCTCCAATTCTTGGACAGTTCCTCAGCTTTCCTGTGTCCGCAGAACATGGACCATTTTCTAGTATCCAGGGCAGTTGTTTTGCAAAATGTCCCTAACCTGGCTTTTATGATTTCCACCTCCTGTTAGAGTCAGTTTAAATGGGAGATGCATCCTTCTCTGAGTACCACATCAGGGTTGCGTGATGTCAGATGACCAGCTACTGTGACCTGGTGTTTAAATTAATGTACTGTTGCTTCTGCA